CAAATATATATATAAGAAATATATATATATATATATATATATATATAAAAATTATATAAGTATGAATAAAATTATATATACACACACGTCATTTCTTAACTATAGACATGTACAGTATGTGTGTGTATTGATATATATATTAAATATACACAGTTCACACACATGTAAACACAAACGTTTATTTTGGATGCGATTAGTCACGATTAATCGATTTGACTGCTTAGTTTAAATAAATAATTAATAAACAAATATATTTACAGAATAAATTAATAAACTGACATATTCAATAAATGCAATTACAGGTTAAATAATCAATGTATGTGTTAAACATACAAATGAATCGACATGTTAAATAAATGTACGTTTAATTAATAAATATATTAACAAAGAAAATGACATTCAATACATTTACATGTTAAATCAAATAAATGTACGTTAAACAAATGTCCATGTTAAATAAATAAATGCACGTTTAATAAACAAATAAATTTACATGTCAAATAAATAAATTAACATGTTAAATGTACGTTGGGATGAGTGGGGGCGGGGCCGAGAGCCGTGGGAACGGAGTGAAGCCGGTGGAGTAATTGATAATGAGCGACACCTGCACCACTCACCGGTCTTGAGTCCCACGGAGGAGCTCCGGAAGGATAAAAGGAGGAGTTACGACAGTGAAAGAGGAGAGAGGACCAGGCCTACAACTAGTCACACCTTTTACTTACTAGCACTCTCACACTCAAGATGGTACAGCACATCACTAGCAACAGCATAGTTTTTGTTTCCAGGGAATGCACATACTGATAAAATGTATACTTTGAATGCAGTGTAACTCAGTCAAGATAATAGCATCAGCCAATTGAATAAATGTAAAAACGTCTACCAACTGAAAAAAAAAAATTTTAAATGTCTTCAGCTGAGGAGAGTTTCTTTATTGCCTCACTTACATTATGAAGAGAGATGCAACCGGTCAGCCAAAAAGGCCTGAAGCAATGTTACAAGTACACTATTAGAGACATATATATACTGTATATTTGGAGTTGAGGTGAATGTCCTTCTCTGTGGCCTGTAGATAAATGGATGGGGTAATGGGGCCTAGTAGTGAAGATGAGACCCCGGAGCGACAGGGCAGGGGAGGTTTGGGGGTGAATTCAGACAGAAAAATAATCGCAATGGGAGGAAAATCAATTCCTTCAATTTGTGGCAATTCCACGGAGAGCTTTTTCAACAGTGATGCAACAAAAGACACTCTTGCCAATCAATTACACATTATTTAATAGAGTTCACCTGAAGTCTACTAACCACTAGCTGCAGATGTGAAGTGTGCTTGGGAAAGAGAAACTCCCGTTACCTTTTCAAGGTTGTATTTACCTTTCTGACAGGATGGAGCATTCACAACCCATCAGAATAACCTCATCTTGAGTTACAGCTCTGATTGGTGGAGTTCTGATGTTTGAAAAACAAGACGTCTCATTCCGATCGCATCACTGCATTGAATTTGGATGTTTCTGTCTTTTTTAAAACCCGGCAAGACACAGCGGCTCTGAAAGTCAGAGTATCCTACGTGAAATGTCAAACATGACCACAGCAGCTTGGAGCAGCTGCCTGCACATTTTCAGGATCACAGCAGGTTTTCGTCTCCAGTGGGGAGTTTGTGTCTGAGGTAGTTTAGATAGAGGTTCAATGTTGCCTCCAACAGGCTTGAAGCAGCAAAGCATTTTTGAAGTGTTAGGATGTGTCAGGCATTTTTCACATATCAAGTGTCAATTGTTTACTGAATGCTAAAGAAAATATTGGCATCATCATTTACACTACTGTTCAAATGCTTGGGGTCTGTAAGATTTTTTAAAGTGCATGCAAGAAGCCTCTTATGCTCACCTAAGCTGCATATATTTAATCAAAAATACAGTTAAAATGCTAAATATGATTACAGTTCATAATAACTGTTTTCTATTTTAATACATTCTAAAATGTAATTTATTCCTGCGGAATTATTCAGCATTCATTACTCCAGTCCTTAGTGTCACATGATCCTTCAGAAATCATTCTAATATGCTGATTTGGTGCTCAAGAAACATTTCTTGTTATCAATGTTGAAAACATTTGTGCTGCTTAATATTCTTGTGGAAACAGTGACACTTTTTTCAGGATTCTTAATAAAAAGTTATTATATTCTAAATAAAAGGTTAAAAAAAACTATGTAAAATAGTAAATTTAGCAAAATTATAAATGGCTTAACAGACACTTTATTCATTTTTATGCATCCTTGCTGAATAAAAGTATAAATTTCTTTCAATAATAATAATAATAATAATAATAGACCAAAACATTTGAACTGAAACATTTGAACATCCAAACTGAGTACTGAGTGGCTCCTTCTAGCACATTATCAGCTCAAATTGACTGAATATACCAATATAAAACATGAATGTTGACCATCATTAGCTTTCAATCCAAGTTGACAAATGTAATTTATGACAAAACACTAACTAAAATGAAAATAAACAGGAAATTAAGCAGAAATTCCATCTCATCTGAGAACAAAACCACACCTTCTTGTGCAAAATAAAATACAATAAAATAAATAGAAGTTTTCTTAGTGAAATCAGTCAAACAACTCAAATCACATGAATAGTTTGATGCAGATGAATTCATTCAGTAAATGTTTTTCTCTCAATTTATTTCTTCTTATCTTTTTAAACTAAAAAAAATATTGTAAAAAAAAAATTGTGTAGTGTAGAAATAATTTTTACATTGAAATTATTCATAAATTTCACAAGTAATTACAAAGAAATGGAAACTTGAATTTTGAAGCGAAATAGTATTTTCTTGTAAAATGTACTCCAATAATCTGTTTTATTTAAACTTTAAAGGGGTCATATGATGCAATTTCAATTTTTCCTTTCTCTTTGGAGTGTTACAAGCTCTTGGTGCATAAAAAAGATCTGTAAAGTTGCAAAGACTAAAGTCTCAAATCCAAAGAGATATTCTTTATAAAAGTTAAGAGTCAGCCACACCTACTCCTTCGTCGAATCCTCCGGCCGTTCCTCACTCAAGGCAGCCGGCCTCCACTCACTCTAGCCCGCCGTGTGTGATGCTGTGTGTTTCGTTGTGAAAGCAAAATTACTTTGTTTGTCCTTCCAAAAATGGACACGACTAGAAATCAGTGGTTAAGTTGTATTTACAACACTGTTCCAGAACACTTCAACCCAAATATTCTGATGTGTGCAGCGCATTTTATGGAGGACTGTTTCCTGATCCTGGGAGAGTAGCCTACA